CAAAACCATCTGGTTAAGACAGGCAATACTTGCATTACATGTCAGTGGTCTTTCACCATTTTACCGTCTTCGACTGGGTGTACTTGCTGGTATCCTTGAGATATGTATGTCCACACAGGCATATGAAGTAATGACCACATTTTAATACTCAGATATGTGACCTTATATTATATGTAGCCTCATTATATTTGTTAATAATGCAAGGTTTTCAGCAGAAATGGGAGTGGCTGGGTGTAGAGACTTAATATCCAGCCTGCAGTGTGAGGGACATCGCTGCACAGCCTCAAAGCCATTGCCCTGCATTATCTTTCGGGAGCATCACAGTACTGGCACAGTTTGTTATTAATGTTTTTTTCCCCTTAAAATGTTATCCTACTGTTAAATAAATTTAAGTGGGGAACTATTTTGGCAGGTACTGGCAGGGGGGACAAGGCTAAATATTTCTGGCGCCGCATGAAATATGCATGCAGTGACGCTTTTAATTATTACAAAGTGCTGTGCTATTCCAGGCAGAGGATTCCAACACACACACCGAGTCACACACAAACTCTTTACATCAGCTGTCTGGGACTGTGCTTATGCTTCAACAATTACCATGCATTATTTAAGAGTGGGAGACAACTCATTTTCCTGCACAGCACTGGGCCTGATCGCACTCTCAGGTAACGGCCACTGTAACAACCAGGGCTTGCAGCTGACCCTTTCCTGCTGGTCAGCCTCCACTTTAATGGCCAATAGTGTGTGTGTGTGTGTGTGCGTGTGTGTGTGTGTGTGTGCTTGGTCTATTAGCAAAAATTTGAGTGTTTCCATTGATATTGATATTTTTGTTCCTTCTTCGCTACTGTACATGCACACTGAAACCAGTTTCACATAAGCTGTACTAGTAGCTGGGCTTGTTTATTCTGGCCTTGCTATGAAATCTCCTCACGTCTTACACAGCTCAAGTTTATGGAAACACAAAACATACATTTTGAAAATAAAGAGCAGAAAAGTTGCCTGTATACAGGCAGTCCAGGCCAGCCATGACTAATTGCTGTGTTTAGGAAGGTGACATTTATAAATGAAGCTTCAATTCTAAGGAGCAAATGCACATTGTTGATTAAAAACGGCTGTGTCTGAAAACCTGAAGGGGTTTTATTAGGGTAGGTAACACGTATGCAGACACACTGACCCATAAACACTGTGCTTTTATGTCATTTCTTCCCTTTCTCCTCACACTCTCATTCCCTTTTCCTCTTGTCCTTATTGCTCTCCCTGCCTCTCTTAAAAACAATCTCTACCCTTTTTAATATCAGAAAAGTTTCAATTTTCAATAGCTTTTTTTGTTGGTAGTGTTCAAAGGAATACTTTTCCATTCATACTGTAGAAGCAGTGCTAGGCTGTGAAAATCACAGCTTGCAGTGAAGCTTGCCTTGCAGGCTCCTCCTCGTCACTCTGGCTCATAGTGCTCAGCAGAAAGGCTGTAGTCAGTGTCCATTCACGTGTGAAGGCCAGCAACTTCACCTCAGATCCGTTCCAGTCACACCTCGAGCTGAGCCTCCTCAGGCCGCCAACAGCCTCACACCTCTCCTCAGAGAAGCAAAACACTCCACTCCACAGGACATACAGCGCTTTTTCCTTAGCCTGCACTTATCGAGACCTCACTTCTTACCTCCAAGCTGTCTTTGGCTGGACATGAAACTTGACCCCCACTTTATCTAAAATCCATTCTAGCACTAGGCTATTTTATTGAACTTTGCACAGCATTTTATTAAAAATGCCTGCTCCCTGATGGGCAGTCCTTTCTCAGCCTTTTTTTCAAGTACTCTGTCAGCATAAAGGTATTTTTCAGTCATTACAATGTAAATGCAACCTCAAGTGCAGCAATGGTTTTAAGGTCCAACAGTCTACCTTAAATAAGTTTTTCCCAGGGAAATGGTATATATTCTTTTTTTTTTTATGTAACTTCATGTTTTAAAATAAAACACACACACCTGTTTTCTAAACCGCTTATCCTTCTCGGGGGCGGGGGGGTGCTGGAGCCTGTCCCAGCTGTTATTAGGCGGAAGGCAGGATACATCCTCGACAGGTCACCAGTCTATCGCAGGGCAGACAGACACATACAGTCACACCTAGGGGCAATTAAGTGTGTCCATTTGGCCTGGCTGCATGTCTCTTTGGACTGTGGGAGGAAACCCACGCAGACATGGGGAGAACATGCAAACTCCACACAGAAAGGACCCTGGTTGCCCACCCGGGAATCGAACCCAGGCCCTTCTTGCTGTGAGGCAACATCGCTACCCACTGCGCCACCATGCCGCCCTAAAATGAAACAATAAAATAAAAATGCTGGAAACAAGATTGAGTGTGTGAATCAATACCATTTAAGAAATATAATTAAATTAAATACAGTACAATACAGTACAATAATGTTCCCTAGCTAAAGGTACTGACGACATGTTCTTGAGAATGCCACCCCGGAGTCAAGAAGGGTACCGCCCCAGTGACCGTTTAGCCCCTTTTTTTCTGAGAGTGTACATCAGAGACTTCTTGTTTGTTGCAGTTAGAAAGTTAAATTTGTATTTACCTTGTAAACATAAATGACTTCTTGATGTGAGATGGTGTAGTTTTTATGACTTTATTTCAGAATTTAGGTTGTATTGTATAAATACATGTTTATGCTTTAATTGTGATCTAGCAGTGAGAAACTCACAGAGCTTTCTTTTTACAAGGGTCTAAAAGAGTTGCAACTGGAAGAAAGCAGCAGTTTTACAGTGACTATATTTGACTGTTCCTTGACTGAAAATTCAAGCTATAGGAAAATGTAATATGGCATGATTTTTTTTTCAGTTATTATCATTCGTTCATTTATTCATTCATTCATCTTATTTTGCTTATTTCAGCTGAACCTGCCAGTTCATTTTCTATGTGAGAGTAACTTTGGATTTGAGAAATGAGTTTAAGCTTTCTTATCAACTGGGAATTTCATTAAATTCATGAGTTTATTGCGTACAGTTCCAGTGGCCTCATTTAAACCCTATTCATGCAGCTTCTTATTGACCATCGGTCCAGGCGTATACACTGTGTTGTCCTTCGTATAAATGTTGTTTTTAGTTTTGCTGTGATCTGGGGGCATAGATTACTTCTCTGGTGAGAAGATTTATTTTTTGTACTTTTTTTTCCCCCTCAGTCTGGCATTTTTCTGTTATGATTTTGCTCTCAAATAGACGCGGTCTTGTGGATGAATACACACAAATTGCACACAGAATCTGCTTTGGTAGTATTAATTACAGTTCTTAAAGGAATGATATGCTGCAGTGCTTTCTTTGAAACCAGCTGCCTTCATTGTTGCTGTGTGGCTGAAATGTCACATCAGATTGTATGCATGGTCACTAAACAAGTGTAACAAAGAAACTAATAGCCTTCTTTTTAATTGCTTTCTCTATGTGGGCTGCTTTTAGACAGTCCCTTGTCTTAAATAATTGGGTCTTATCAATTCTGCTTCATTTGAAATCCATCTGGATTCATAATAATTTATCAGACTGTTGCATTAGAGAGGTAGGCTACTGCTTAACTCGATTATGGTAGTTTTTTAGAGCTCTTTGAAAACTTGAAATCGGTAAATTTGAAGCAAATAGCAATTTTGCAACACTTCATTGATTTGTTCCTGGAGAAGTAGATCTAGAGCGATTGCAGGGTGTCCACTCTGTTGAGTGCTCTGACTCCTCCAGAGAGTCTCTGTGCTACTGTTTTATAATGGGACATGTAGAACTACCCTCCACAGTCAAACCCTTTGCACGTTTGCCCTGACACTTTTATTACATTTTGCAAATGGAAGTTTATTTTCTCTGTTTCTTTTTATCTGCTTCCTTTTTCTGCAATCTGTTGTCAGTTACATTTCCTGACCAATCTACCTCAACCATGCTCTGTCCTCGTGTCTCTCTGTATCTTGTTTGACTCCAATTCCCTTTTTCTTTCCTGTACCTCACTTTGATTACATCTGAAAAGAGTAGCAAGTGCTGCACAATCAACCTCTTAGATGAAAAAGGAAGTACAAAACAATCATGAAGGTGACCATATGATATTTAGAATAAAAAGAGGGGAGTGGTTGTTCATTATATGGAGTGCAACGTGACTGCACAGTCAACGAAAGCCAAATAGGAAATGCTAACAGCCAGAAGAGGAAAATTAGCTAAGTCCTTTTGGGCTCTGATTTATGGAGTACATCTGGGCTGCTTTCCATTGTTTTCAATTAGAAGTTAAAACACGGCCTCCTGTGTGCTAAGCAATGCATTCCCACCAGCTTCCTCTTCTCCGACCAATTACACAGTGGACAGGTGCCGTGTGCTTCTAACAGATTGGCCCTTCTCCCTCTGCCCATTTTTCTCCCTTGTGCTTTGGAACATAGAGTACAAGCTCCCTAGTGTTGATTGACTCCTTTTTCTTCCCCCAAAATCATGATTTTGAGAGTAATACTAGAACAGGGTGGGTAGTCAGTCATGCAGTCAGTCATGTCTAATATACAGTTTAGTCTGGCTTCAGTGCATTTGAATTAAGAAGAATTTTGCATATGATTAATAAGAGCTATAGAAAGTGCTTGTGGACAAAAACATGATCTCAAATTCTGAGTTTGTATGTTTAGAGAGGTTGGAAAATAAGACCTATATGTAGCAAAAGCCGCAGCTTGAAACCTGTAATCCAGACGTCTTCAAATCCGAACTCTGAATCCAGTTTCTGGTCCTGTATTTTGCAGTTACTGGAAGGTGTGACATTAGATGGCCAGTTATTTACATCAAAAGGTGGGGTAGCTACCAGTGATTACAAAAACCAGGACCGGAAACTGGATTCAAAGTACAGATTTAAAGACCCCTGTTATATCTACTATCCTTTCAAGTGTTTTGGCCAGCAGTTCTGAGCCACACTCTTAATTCACATAAAATTAAGGCTACATGCAGAGATTTTAAAGGCATATAACTGATTCCATGCTTGATGGTGTGATAAACACTTCTATCTGTCTACAGATAGCGTGAAGCGCAAGACCAGGCGCCGACCGATTTGGGAGCGTGGTATCATTAGGAAAAAGAAGAGCAGCAAGAAGGAGGAGGCAGAAGAAGAAGAGGAACCTGAAGAAGAGGAAGGAGCTGAAGACTCTGCTGGTGCTGGCCAGGGTGAGGCTAGTCTGGTTCAGGATGAGTCCTCCAGTGACACCATGGAACCCCAGCCTGATAAACAGCTTCTCCAGCCCAATGGATATGCCCTGTCCACTGAAGAGGAGAGCTCCAACGAACCTACTGTAACTCAAGATCCAGGGGTCTCAGATAAGGTTAAGACAGCTACCTCTAATGAAGCTCCTCCTGGAGAGGAGAAAGAGGCATCTGTGGTCTCTGCCCCTCAGGACTGTGTGAATGGAGACGAGTCACTGGACAGCATAGACAGCGAGGCCCATGAGAAGGAATTGGAGAAAGATGGAAAGGAGGTGATTACTCCTTCTAAAGGTAATGCACAAGATGGAATTGGTGATGCAGTCCAAGAATACAAGACAAATGAGTGCATGTCAGCAGCAGAAGGAGCAGCTAGTGATGGAGATCATGACAGAGAAGGTACATTTATATGTTACATATGCATCGCTACATATATTTGTTTATTGAAATACTATACGTCTAATACATATTATCTGTCATTTTTAAATATTCAAGAAAAAAACCTTGAGACGTTCCACTTGACTGAGTGGTTAAACAACTGGTTTCTTCTTCTTAAGAATACTGTTATGAATAATAATTATTATTGTTACAATTGCAAATATATTTATTAATATTATTAATCATTCTGGTTAATTTGCTTATGTATGCTGTTGCATAAATTCTCTTTGTTTTACTCTATTCCTTACTAATAAACTGTCATTTTCATAGCAACTTGCATAAAATGCTAATCCAGACATCCTGTGCAATCAGCAACATTGAATATTAATTTTTTTGTTAGTAAGTGGAGAAGTACCCGTTTTTCAGATTTTATGGTCAAGACTTTTAAGCCACTCAGAATTACTTTATAACAGAGCATGCATTAAACAGCTGTTTCAAATTTTCCAGAGCAGTCTGAATAAGGTTCCTATAGCTCTGAAGAGCTAGACAGCTGCATGCTACTGGTGACAAGCTTGAACTTGTTTGCTTCCGTTTGGAAAAGCATGGATTCACAATGTTAGTGAAAGTGTTTGTTATTTAAATGGATTTTTTTGGCTTGGCTCATTCGTATGTTTTTGCAATTGGTTTTGCAGAGGCTGCACAAATCATGGTTAACTTGTGTGATCATAATAGGAGCCATAGAGATAATTTATTATGCTAAACTTCAAATATGCTTGAACATGCAGTCAGTGGTTTGTCAGTAATGTCAAACATTTTGCCAGAGGTTTACTCTTTTCAACTGTCGGGCAAAACACTATGTGGAACTTTGTAACTAGTAACATTAGTAGAGGGGGGCAGGGTTTTTTTTTTTCTTTTTTTTATTGGTTCCCCCTACAGGCTCAGACTGCCCTTCGGGAAGATTTTCCAGCTGGTAGACTGACTTGTCAGTTGTGCAGAAGATGAATTCTACTAATCACAGCACAGCTATGTCCATTATTACGTAGGGGAAAAAATCTCTCACATGAATGGTCTTTTTAAAGCACATACACAATATGCATGTTATAAACGGTATTAGATCAGTGATGGGTTGTACAATTAGCCGGCTAACTAGCTTGGATAGTTAACTGGCCTACAGCATCACAGTTCATGTTCACACATTTGCAAAATGGATAAGAGGAGGAAATGAAGGTGGAGCTGAGAGGAAAAGAGAGAGTGTCCTCAGAATAACTCATTCAGCAAGAGAGCAACAGGTCAGTCTGTAGCCTCTTCTACTCACCTGATCACTGTAGCTGCTGATGTAGGCTGTTTACCTCTGACAGGAGATATTAAATTAGTCCACCACTGACCCAGATGATATCCGTTATTGATTTTCAGACTCTAACTAACTGTTTTCATTAATGTTGGCACAGACAGCATTTGCTTAGAAAAATAGTCTGGTTCTGCATCCTAACGTAGCCATCTTGCAACTGAGTTTTTACAAATAGAAACTAACAAAACAGTCTTCAATTATGTGGAACCTTTTTCTTACATTTGTAGTTCCTGCTCAGGTAGATAAAGTAATATTTTTAGAGACATTACAGAGTACTTAAGAGAATAGAGATTTGCATCATACATACAAAAATGCTGTTATATTTACAGTATTAAAGGTATCACTGAGCTTTAACTTCACATGTCCAAGTATTTAAAAAATCATAAGGAATAGATCATTATTTCCACTGAAATGTTTAAGTTACTGAGCTTATGTTACAGAAAAATACTGTGGTTTGATGTGTGTTAGCTAAAGCATTTTCTAAAACTTTAAGCTTAGTATTTGCAGTCACTATCCAATACCTACTTTAATTAATCAAGCCTTCATTAAATTAATCAGATGCTACTGATGAAATTGAACGAATCCATGCAGCGGCTGGAGTGCAGGAAACAAACCTGTGCTCTTCAGACTGTTTTCGTCTTACTTACATAATAAATGACTTCACTGCCAAACTACACATTATTTTCACTGTATTTGTATTTATTTGTATTTATTCTAATGATAGCAAACCAAATACATCAGATGCTAATGAGTGAAATGGCAGTGCTTTCAGAGAACACCAACTTGTTTGTGACACAATACCGAATAAATAAGCAAATTAAATTTACAACTACATTGCCATTTTTTATTAATTGAAAGTAGTTTTTTATGATGGGGGCGGGGGCATTAATTGTATTTTTGCGCAGGGGCCCATAAGATCCTGGTTATGCCACTGTCTGTAACTCTATACACGGTTAACTATTGGCTCATAACACACCATCTGTTGCAGTTTTGTCTGGGACAACAAAGCCTCTAGTATCCATAATTCATTACAACTTTAGTATAGCGTACCCATATTCTTATTACCTGGCCAGTTATAAAGCCACAGGTATTTGACATAAACGATAATGTAATGTAACACCCGTTTCCTTTCTTACAGGCACCTCCAAAGGGAAGAAGTGCAGAAAGCAGCAGAAGGGGGTGGTTGGAGAAAGGCCAGAAGAACCTCCGCAGCCCCCTCCTCCACCTGCTTTAGTCGTTGACCATCAGCGGCTCAAGGTAAGAGACTAGAATTAGAATTGTTAGAATGACACTCCTTTATCCTCCACTCACATAATTGTTATTGTGACTGTTTTGTTCCTGTAACAAAGTCACATACAAATGGGTATTTGTGGTTATACAAATCAGCTGTTCAGGTCTGACGTGGCTTACCTACCAGATAAATGGTTGAATGACCAGTAACGCATTCTCTCTCAATTGATGCAGTGTTCTCAGTATGTTGTAATACTGTGTTTGCTACACTGACAAGCGATAGAGACAAATTGTGATGCATCAGCTTTTAGCTAGCTATCTGCTCAGAGGGTTGCAAAAAAAATGCCTTGAAATGATTTTTTTTCACTACATTTTAACACCTTCAACATTCTAACAACTTCAACTGCACTTTTACTCTCGGGTTTGCCTTTACCAAACTAAAAGAGATCGTTTTATCACCCGAGCGCTATTGTGATAGTGTAGAATTATTGAGATCCCATTTATAGAGTAAGAGAATGTTAAATCTTTAATAGTAACTGTAGGTGCAGCGCTTCTGTTATTACTCACTCAGCAGTGTCACATTAGGTTGCCTTAATTTAATGTTCTTATTAAGAATATTGAGCTAAAGAGAGATATATTTAAAAGTTTGCACCTCTCTAGCTCCATCTTTTAGGACTTGTCAATATAGTGCATGCTTGGTAAAACACAACTATCTGAAGTGTGCTGATTCCTGAGAGGGTGAAAAATAGACCTCATTGCTCCAGTCATACAGCTGATGCTAGAAGAAACACTCACCAGCGCAGTGATGGCATCATCATTCCTTCCTCAGATCACTTTTATGCTCTGTGCTATACACATGCTGAACCATCTTCGGCATTTCGGTGTGCCATTTTAAGCATTCTCTCCAAGCTCTGCAAATTGTTTGCATTATTGCTTTCCACTCACTGAGACCAGATGAAGATACTAAGGCAAACAGATTGTGCTCTGTTAAAGGACAGAGCTAAAATCTAAACATGAATGTGTAAAATGTCTAGTTGGCAGTGAGAGAAATATGTCTATAACCGTTTTCCTGATGCTTTGAATACAGCAAGTGGCAGCCGTGCTGTGGATTCACCTCGCTAATACCCAAGTGCCAATTGGAGTCACTGCTTGAAGCGCTACTCAAACTGGTGGCCACACTGTCAAAAAAGAGACAGAAGTCACGGAGCAAAAGGCAAAAACGGAGTTGTGAGGGAGCGTGCACCACATCCCGCCTCCGTATTGGTTATCGTGCCCTTATCTCCCTGCAGAACGCCCCTGAGGGCTTCAATCACGGACCCTGCCGCTCGGATGGATTGATGGTGCTCGGCACCGCGTCAGGCGCCTTGCTGGCTCGTGAGCCATGAGAGCTGAGGGGCGCGGAGCCTGCGAGCGCTTGTGGCACTAATCTGAGGCTTATTTGTTCATTTAGGGAGAAAAAGCAGATATCTTTAAGAAACAGATCGTGAAGTGACGGGGGCTGTGAATAATTGCTTTTTCATCCCTGGCTTATGGAACAAATTGAATTTCCGGTGAAGTGGGGTGAGAGTTGCCGTTTAAGCAGATATCTCCTCCTGGTTGGGCTGGCAAACTGCCTGACACATATTAGGAATGGAAAGTGGGCTATTTCCTCGCCTTTCATTCATATTCATCAACTGGAGACACGCTCATTACTATTGACATTTTTGTAGCACAGCAGGGGCCCTGAAATACCTCTGGAATTAAACAGTGTCAGAGAAGACAGGGAGCTTTGTTTCCATACCTACCGTTCGAGCAGTGTCAGAGTTTAGCATCAAATCATACATCAGTTCTCGTGATGACTGTGTAACGATGATGCCCATACTGAAGAGATGAGAAAACATCTGGTGTCAGTCTACAGGGAAACTCAAAGAGGTTGTTGACACTTTTTTGTGAGTATCCTGATGGCCTGAATTTATCGTAGAGCTTTGGTATTACCTCTCATTTGGAAGACAAGGTTGTCAGGGTTTGTGTCAGACCGGAACACATTCAACAGGTTCATTCTCATGTTGAAAATATTCATTAAAACGTCATTATTGTAGTGTATCACGATATCACCTCTGCTTTAACCATGTGTAGAAACGTTGTCCTATTCTGAAGACGACATTTTTGTTATTTGGAATCCTGTTGATGGCAGTTCCAACAGCTGAGTCATTCAGAATGTCTGTTTAGGTGAAATGACTAGAAAACACCGTGGACTGCTGTTTGAGTGTCAATAAAAATAACTTTTTTTTCCTGTTACAGTTTGAGTGCTTTCACCAATTTCTTTGTCCCTGCTGATGCCCTTGACAGCACATATATTTGCATTCACTAACAGCTCAGTGCTTGTGTGAACTTTTGAAAAGTCTCCCATAGACATACTGTTTTCTCCATGTCAGAGGATGCATTATCGGCATGTACCAAAAGGAGTGAGGCTATATGTATATTTTGTCTTTAAATTTAAAATTTACTGCTCAGTGCAGTGCAGTCGTATGTGGTTTCGCATTCATTAACTGAATCTTTTGAGATGACAGGAAGAGCACTGCCTCTGATTTTGATTGGCAGAAGGTGCTTATATGCTTCCAGACTGTGAAGCTGCACTTAAGTGTCAGGAGAAAACAGTGAGATTGCTTGTTTTTATTTTAATGAAAGACATGAGAATTAATGAAAGAGAGTAATTCTGTCCTCAGATAACGCAGACTTTTGTTACTGAAGACTTCACCACTGCCTCTACACACTGCTGACCCCTTTCACTCCTTCTCCGTCACTGTTTTTCATGATTGAGTCATGCTGTATTTCCCATGTCTTGACCCAAATGAATAACTTGCAGAATGTTTCTGGTAGAAATGTAATCCAAAACATTTGAAGGAAACTGAAAAAAAAGCATCTAGTTAGAAAGCATATTAAATGAGTGAAGTTAGAAGACTGTATCAGACAGAAAGAATTAGAAATTGAGATAAAATTGTTAAAAATAATGAGTCAAAACAAACAGTAATAAAAGTAAGGGGAGGTGGATGAGTGAAAAGTGGTAAAATTACTGCATGAATGTGTTGAATATGAATAAATATGAAATGCTGAAGTGAAAAAGAAACCTGTAAGAAATAAAGTAAGAAATTATCTGAAATTCTTGATTTTTGTTTGCACAAGCATTGATTTGTGATAGTCAGGAGTCGTATCTTGCTTCTTCACTTCAGATTTCAACAGTGCTACATTCCATAGTTTGTTAGTAGAATACTTTTTTGTTGTTGTTTTTCCCTGTTGCAAAAACAAAATATGAAAAACTGCAGCAATATAGGTTACATTACCAGCACACTATCTGCTAGTATGTTAGCATGGCAGAGAGTATAGTCTGGTTTTCAAGACTCAGTAATTTGAACTATATAGTCTAAACTACATAGTCGTGTTGTATACAAAAGAAATCAGTGTTTAGGGTCTTTTTCTTCTAGCGTTTTTTCTAAACTGACTAAATCTAAGATTGATTCATTGTTCATATGGTTATAGTATTATATTGAATGAATATTCATATTTTGAACATTGATATTTTTAAATCTTTTGAATAACTGAGTTTGTTTTTGTCCTTGACATCTTAACAAATAATATATCATAGCGCTAGTTCAGCTTTAGTGGCCCCTGTTAATTTCAGAATGTATCTTTACTGGTATATTTGGCAGATGACTCAAGATTGCAGTCAAACAGGCACTTCTCATTGAAATGTTAATGCACTGGTTTGTTATTTAGGATATTTGAGAGCTATTTTTGTGTTTGTAATCACTTTTAAAGAAATGCTTCACCCCAAAGTGCAAACATAGTAAGTTACCCTTATGGAAGCAGGGTTGTTCCAAAATTAAATTAATTATTAGTCTCTGTGCAAACTTAGTGATTTATAATCATCATTACTATAAGGAAATTAGATCTTAAAAAATTATAAAATATTCAGTTTACTAAGTTTCCTAAAACTGTTATTATTTTTAACAGGTCCATTGCTCTTGCCTGACTCTTGCCTGAAGGTTTTTGCTCATATTTTGAAATTGGACCTTCAGCTGTACCAACTGTTGAATCTCTCTCTCTCTCTCTCTCTTTCTTTCTTTTTGAGACACTGTCACTGTGACTGTCTCTGTCTCTGTCTCTCTCTGTTTTTAAATCTTATTAACTTTCCTTGTGATATATATAACCCATTGGAATAACCACTGTACCATGGTAATTCCATAAAATGTTCGACCTCAACAGTCTTCAGATTTCTCTTTGTAGTAATGTTATCGTTAATGGAGTTTTCTCTACTCACTAATAGCATGGAATTCAACCTTTGTGCTTTAAAGTCTTAATACGATACTTTGTGGTTGATAACTCAATGGTAGGGTAAACAGTCAACTATAAACACTGCCTGTAAACATGTAAACATTGATTGTCGATGACAGTATTTCAGAGCATTGGCTCATACATTTTTTTTTTCATGGTAATGAAAGTATACATATTTAGTTTTCTATGCTTTAATGTGTCACCCATTAAGACGATGTCAATAATATATGTTCAGTTTTAATATTATGAGGGCAGTGGTGGTGGTATGGTGTGTTGGGGAAGTTGATAAACTCAATAAATGGTGTACAGGCATTTCAGGTGGCCTGGTGAGACTATTATTCTGCAGTAGAGGATGATAAACATCAAAAGGTTTGAGTTAAATGGACCATATCAACAGCTCTTTTATAGTTGGGATTACTGTTCTGTTCAGGGGTGGCTGCTGTGCATGACCACTTTTGCTGACAATGACATAGAAATGCAGCAAGAGGTCCAAACCTAATCCCTATAATTGACAGACTGCTGAGTTGTGTATGGTTAATTAATTTGTATTTTTCCCCTGTCATTCAGGATGGTTGGTCTGCCTTTCGGTTGACTATTTTTTGCTTATTTGCATACTACAGTCTTTTAGTAATGACTTTTGACATTGCAAATGCCGTATTTGTGAAAGTGGTTTTGTGATCCAAATGTTGCACCCGCCCCCCTTTTGTTTCTTTTTAAGAAAAAACAAAAAAAAAACCCTGAGCTTTCATTTGTGATGTTTCAGGAAAGTAATATTGTACTGTGAGTCAAGGATGCTGGTTTGAACACATCCACATGAGGTGTTTTTCATTAAACATCACCCCAAAAGCAAACCAGTTCTTGCAATTATTCCCATCTGTAGCCAGCTATCCTGGAACAGTCTGTTTTTTTGCGAGTGAGTGTGCTTTGTTCTTTGTGCCTAAACCCTTATCAGAAGCAAGCACAGTTTTTGTTGACTTAGACTGATGCAACCAGAGCCAGTCAGTGTAGCCTAATAACTCATCTGTATGCGTTTTGATGAGCTGCTGATTGGCCACAGGATCACTGTGATGAACATGTCAATTGAAAGGGCATTGCTGGGTCTGAGGCATTTTAATTAAAGAGAATGTGAAATGTAAACACCGGCATGCTGCAGCAGTGTACGAAATGGAAGGTAATTATGATTTGCCTTAATTAGCTGTCGCTGTGATCTTAATTGCTTTTGAAGATGGCTGACCCCCTGTCCTGACTGCGTATGTTGGGGTTCCGTTGGCACAGGCTTTGTGTGTGGCCGTTCCCTACCTTCTGGAGATTACGCTGTCTTTGTTTTTCACACTGACTTTTATAATTCCATTCCTGCTTTTGGGTTTAAGGTTCTGTCAAACTTTTTGGCATCCATGTCAAACTATAAGAAGCTTGAGTTGGCTCCTATGAAGTGACTTGAAAGACGTTTGTCTCTTGTTAAAATGCCATCAGCCACCTTAGTAGCTTTGTTGCTGTCACTAAAGTTACTTGTAAATTGAATAGTATGCTTGAGTGTTCAATTGATAGCAGAAATTAGCTGATAACATTTCACTGAAAGAAAAAAAAAATGTTTACAGCAGCATTGTTAATCAACACGCTTCTTTTCAAAGACATTATTCTGCATGTGTTGCATACAAGTGCAGTTTAACTGTGATATAGTTTAGGGCTACAACTAGCGAATAAGATAGTATTTAGCCTGAAAAACATTTGGTTTCCCTGAGGCTTGGATTGCTTAGGTTTCATAGAAGTGATTTCATTGACTGTCCATTTAATTATTATTTGTTTTTATATTTTTATAATTGACTTATTTGCATTGTATCAAGTTTTTCTTATATGGTTCTTGCCAGATCATTGCATTTGTCCGTTCAACATTTAAATTATAGAAGGGTTTCGTTTCACTGCAAAGGCAGAAATGCAAAACTGCACTATGTTAGATTTTTTTTTTGGTCTTGCCTTTGATTACTAAATTGAGTTTTTTGGACCATGTCATACTTCTTTACGTATTAACGTCATGTGCACAGGCTCAAAAAGAAGATCCAGCTCGATGTTTAGGTCTCAAATACAAAAAAAAAACATTATACTGAGGAAGATAAGATAACAGTAGATAAATTACTTACGTCTTTGGAAGACGCATACTTCACCAAGTGTTGACTGTTTTCTTTTAATCCTCTTTCCAAATACTCGCAATCACCAGATTTGTCCTCTCCGAGATGGGGTCCGAAGCCCAACCAACATTAAAAAATGTTCTTCTGCATGTTTCGGGCAATTACATATTTACACCGGAGAGGTCTCTAAATCCCTAGAACGTACATAGTGGAGTTTTAAGTTGAAACTAAAATGTACTGATTAGCTTAATTGGAAATGTTTTTTTAAAGTCACACCTTGGTTTACCCTCAAAAAAAGTTAACACCTTTCATTAGGCCCACTTGCTGGAGGTGGCTGGCTCCTCAGTATGATGAAACATTTTTGTTTTAAGAAATATAGACAAGTAAACTAGTCAAAAAAATGCCTATAACATTATGTTCACTGACTTATTCTTCCCTGAAGTGGTTTGAGGAGCTCCTGATGTATCACAAAAAGAGTATGTCTGACCAGCATTAAAAATCTGTTTGCTGCTTGGAGATGGTGAAATCTGCTTTTCCCTAGAGCTGTTTCAACATGCTAGCCTGGTAGCTAGCCTGACAGTTCACCCACTGCTTAACTTTTAACATTGTGGTAACCTCAAACTTTGTCAGCACTTTGACTGCATCCATGTATGTTAGAGATATCACTGTAGAGCGTACACTAGTATGCATTACAATTTGTTAGTACAACCTGATGTGTGTAACACATTTTACTACAAAAGACACGTTTATCCTGTGTTCTTTGTTGTTTTTGTTTACTATTTGACATATGCCGTCTGTTCTCTGTTTTCTAGGCCCTACTGGATCAGATAGTTGTAAAGAGTGAGGGCTACAGTGTGGATCAGTTGGAAAGGCTCTACTCTTTGCTCAGCCAGTGCATCTATCAGCACCGCAGGGATTACGACAAGACCCACTTGATTGAGGTGAATGGCTCCCGTGACTTCAAATGCAATGTGATATCCGCTAGATGTCCAAACGTTTCAGCACAGTTCCACTGCTTGGGAGCTTTATACCCCTCTAGCTGATGCTTAGCATTGAGCACAGTGAATTTAGGTTCAGCATCCCATTTTACTGGCAGTGCTTTCTATGGAGTACAAAAAAACTGATTGCATGTGTCAGCAATGGTTGCATCTTCTGGGAGTCTGAACACTTTTGGACATACAGTGTAACATTCTTGTGTTAAAAATATGGCATGTGGTAAACTAGTGAAATAAAGTCTAGAACATTGTGTTCTATGACTTGTTCTTCTCTGAAACGTGTGGTTTGAAGAGTTGAAGTCCCCGATATATCACCAAAAGGTTATGTCTGACCAGCATTTAAAAACTGTTTTCTGTGCTGCTTGGAAACGGTGAAACTGCTTTTCCCTAGTGCTGTTTCAGCATACAGGCCTGATACGGTTGACCTTCATACCTTTCAGCCTATGATTGGTCCTCATAGTTTCAAACCTGTGCTTGGCTGCATAGAGGATTTTGGAGACCCTGTGATTTATTAAAATATACAAGTGCTAACTGCAAGAAATTGGCGAAGCTCTCAGTTTCAGTGGGAAATAAAAGCTTCAGATTGTTCAAAGGGGAGTACATTGCGTCTGTGTTTTATAGTGCATTGTGAATTGGGACACACATTCTAAATTTGAGGTAAATGCACCAATCATCTCAGGTGAATGGAGTGAGTACGGTCTGTATTACAGGCTTACCTCTAAGGAGCTCATACAAGGCAGTTTAGCCTGCTTAGCCTGATGATAAATTCTTCTATCTTGAAGCAGCTAGGCCACATTGACTCCAGTCATATTTCCGCTTTCATTCCCAGCCCTTTACCCTTACTTAACTTCATAGTCCTCATGCAGCTTGTTCTCTGACTGCTGTTTCGAATGGTTCTTTCCACAGGACTGAATTGAGCCATTTATAAGGGTACTGTGTTCTTGGAACCATTCTTTTTCACTTACTTTAGGTTTTGAGGAGTTCAGTAAAATAGTGCCTCTCTTCAGCAATGAGACATGGGTTAATATATGATAGCTCAGCAGTGATCAGTTTGCATGATTATAAGGTTTTAAACCTTTTTGTGTGTTTTTGTGTGTTCTTTTTATTTTTTAAAAGTATCTTTAGAGCGTTTCTGTTTTCAAACAAGGTATTTCGCAAAGGCTGTCTATGATTTGTTATTGTTCATTTGAGTCATGTTTTGTTGTTTAGCCTTTTGTTAAATAAGAAGAAAATTGATTACTTAGTTAAGTGACAACATAATCGGTAGATTACTGGATCACTATTCCAATCAATAGTGACAGATCTATTTCTCCAATTGAAATGACTGATGAAAAGAACATTTTCTGAGACCCAGTTTCAGCCTTTTGGCAGTGCCAACCAGATTTTTATTTAAAATCTCCTGGCACTCTATAAAGTCCATGATGCCTTGTATCCTAACAAAGTTCCAAAGCCATCTAAAGAAAAATTGCCTCAAACCATCACTGACTCTCCACCACACTTAACAGTGAAGATGAGGTTCTCTTCTATATAACCATCCCTCTTTATGTTAAATCCACCTTGATTGTTTGTTGATAAAAAGCTTTTGTCTCATCTGACCATAGAACCCTGTTCCAGTCAAAGTTCCAGTAGCCTCTAGCGAGCTCCAGGCGCTTTGGTTAGATGAAAGTAAAGGCTTTCTTCTGGCATGCCTTCAAAATAGATTGCTGGCATAGAGGTGCCGTCTAATTGACAAGGTTGGAAAGAGTCCTGAAAATCCCTACTTAAGCAAGAGTACTGTTATTGTATAAGTAATTTACCTGAGTACAAGGGAAAGTATTATTAACGGAAATTACTTGAGATTGAGTAAGTGGTTTATTGAAAAATAAATTATCAAGTTTATTATGTCCGTAATCACAATCTGAAAATATGTCTGAGTTGACTTGGCGATATCATTAGAAATAATCTGTACAAACCAAATTTAAGCCAACATGTTTAAGCCAAAGTCTGATCACATTTCGCTCTGCTAGTGAACATGTACAGACCTTACTATGTACTGTGTAAGACACGGTTTGCATTGAACTAAATGTATTTTATGGTTAGATGTTATATAAGGCTTCTAGTTTATTGGTTTCCAACAAAGTAGCTTAGAATCCTTGAAAGGCTGCAAATAGTTTGGTACTGTTTAATTAAGTGTATTTTCTGGGTTTGGAGGTATAAAAAAACAAAGATTACTTGATTAAAGGAAAAATAACAAGTAATGTTTCATGACAGTCATTCTGCCCATGAGCCCATTAATAGGTGTCAACCTCTACAGACAATAAACATTATATTCAAAACCTTTAAACAGTATAAATTCACTGATGCAGGTATAGTTCATTTCTACTATTAAAAGCATTAGCAACAAAAACAATTTATCCAGGTTTGACTTTTTAAGCAGCTAAACGGCTTCTCACACAGTTAAAGACATACAAACATAAAGAGATCTTGAAATAGAGAAAGTACAACCAAAAAATACTCTGAATAGTAAAGCACAACAGTTTTTCAATTATAGCGAGTGACAGTCTGATGTTTTAGGAATATTTGTTTAGTCCATTTGTTTACTCTCACCCACAGTCTGATTACTCTGAAAGAGTGAAAGTAAAAAAAAAACACACATCTGAGAATGACAAAATTATTGTTAAGAGCTTATACGGAAACTGCAGGCTAAATTCTGTATCCCAGCCTTTTACCTCTGAAACGGCAACAGATCTGTATTTTACAGGTAGATTTTTTTGGCTTTGGTTTGGCATCTGTGTAAATTAAAGTAGCTAGCTAATAGACACTTGCAATAAACCATATGCAACAGATTTTAAGTTTAATAAATAGCCTTCATTTTGAGAAAGTTTTGCCTCTAAACATTTTTAGACATGTAAGGAACACAGTTCAGTCACATTTTATTCATTAAATTGATTTTTAAGTGTAATTGATATGTAATTGACAATTTTGTTAAACAAATACTTCTTGTTAAGAGTTTTCAATTTACTTCAATTAAAGGTGAGATTATTCTCAAATGTTTAATGCGAGACTGAGATACACAGATCACAAATACATTTTTATGACCTTTTTTAAACCTATCTTTATCAAGGGTGCCAGTTATTATGGAGCTGCTACTGTTTGTAGCAAGTAAACACTGCAGCAAAAAGTTCTTGCAGTCCTATTTCAAAGCTAAGAAATTGTCACAGAATGAAAGAAATGAAAATGAGTTCATTGTGGTCGCGTAGCTGTAAGCTGAAGATGGATGCACAGAGACTGGATGCTGACGCACTGAACAGCTGCTGAGTGTTGAAATTAGAGCACCACGTTGATTGCAGTGAGCTGTGTGCCCAATCCTCCAGGGAAATTATGTTTGCTGTTCTCAAATACAATAGTAATGGTTGCTGGCCAGCAGAAAGAGAGTGGAGGCTCACTGGGGCCTGGAGGGCAGCGGAGCCCTGAGCTCATTTATGTGCTCTGCTCAGGTACCCTTTTTACAGAGTCTACAAAGAGTTCTATTCATGAGTTCCTATTTAAACAAAAAAATCATTCTAGAGATCTTTTATGTCCAGACTCTGAGAATAAGATGAGGACTACACAGTCTCACTTCTTTGTGGTTTTCACGTCTCTTTCCAGTTGGATCTCCAAGGCTCTTTTCAGATATTTGAGACATTCAGTTTATCTGCTGCTCATTTGTGTTAAAGAGCCTCTATCTTGGAAAACCAAAAATGTCTTGCTTTTTTTAAATAGTTAGATACAGTGTATTGTTACATTGTTTTTAAAGTTTCAAAATGTACTTTCTTGTCCATACAGTGCATAAATAGCTAAATTGCAAAAACAGCCTGTTTTGAATTCACTGGTTTTTGATATCATTAAAAAAACAAATCCTTTGAATATATATCTGCCTATTCCACCTACATCAGTTTAGCCCCGCCTATTTTATGCTGATGTTATAAGGAGTGTTTCTGCCAAGACTGCTTTTAGGACAAATCCCAATGTAGGTCAGCCAATCAGAAGTGAGCTCATTTACATATTCTGTCTTACAGGTACATTAAGACAGCCTGCTTAACTCTAAATGATAAAGAGATTAATGTCATGTGAAAATGAATGGTTTAGTACATAAAACCTCACAGACTTTAAATAAAATGCAAGTAAAAGTTGTAGGATATGTGCACTTTAATGTTTACTTCCCCCTGAGAGTGATTAGCTGTGGCTGTTGGACTATAATGCACATACAGCAACAGCATGTCACAACATAAACAGCACAAACTGCTATGTATATCACTGATGCAGTAACCTGATAGACAAAATCAAGATTAGATATTGCCAGAGTGAATTTTAATATTGTCACCTTTTGGAAGGAACAGCATAGCTCTTCATTGAGGAAAAAAAAAGGCGATTAAATATTCTTCAAGGTTATGATGTAATTATTTGATAGGCTAGGTCAAAGGAAAGCGGTGTCAGATAAAGCGCTACATATTTAAATCCTTGATATGTGCAGTGTAATAAAACATGGTGAAAAATCTTTGATTAAAATGCACAAGCCTGCAGTGTCATCTCTTATCAAGGCTAGTGATCTAAATTGAGATATTACTTAGTTTTCAGCACTATGTACTCCTTTTGTCATTGAGTGAAGATTTTTTTGTTTTGCTGCTTCACTATTATTGTCTCACGTTCTGATATGTCATTGGTCATGTTTGTGATTTTGTAACTGTTTGGAACTGTCTTACTCTAAGCCTGTTTTTCTCCACTTTCTTTTTCCACTTTCAGGAGATGGAGAGGCAAGTCCAGCATTTCAAAACATTCCTGTGATGAATCGAGGGCTTTCAGCAGTCATCGTAATCGGAGACTCCTGTGATACATGAGGGAGACCAACCTATTGAACAAAGCCCTTACAGTGGAGCCAAGCAGGTTGGGTGTTTTTACGAGAACGGGGAAAGGAGGAGGTAAAGGAGACTTTTACAAAGACTTACAGTGGCAACCTTGGTGCTATTGTCTCAGGTATCTGGACAGAACCAGTCTACAGAACCAAACACAACTCAAGACTCATGTAGTTTTCAGTTTTTACAAACATATATGCCAATTTCTAATGGGCGTTTTGGTGCTATTGGGTGCTATTGTTTATCCATTTGCTGCTCCTTTCCTTAAAAAATTGAGAAAAGAAACAGAAAAAAGACAAAATATTAAAAAGGAAAAAAAGATTTTGTGTGATGTCACTTAAAGAAACCTCAGCCTTCTTTGTCAGGAAGAGACCACACACAGCAGCTCACAGGCACAGATTCTCACCAGCAGTGGCAAAACATGTGAATGAGGTGTGATGCCAAGAGAGCCAGTTTGTTATTTACTGTGGAAACAAACTGCATCACTCACCTTCTATGCCCACTATCTCGATGCATTCTTGTGTCCCCTGTGATATTTCAACCAGTAGGCATTTAAGTAGAAGCACTGCGGAGCCACAGTGATGATCCTGCCGAAAAGAACAGCGTTTCTAACGATTTTTGTGATCCCACGGGATTGTAAAAATTTTCTACCTGATTCCACTTTTTGAGATTTCAGTATCTCTGTACTGTAAACCCTTTCAGTCCCATACTAAAAAAGAAGTGTCATCCCATTCTGGAAAAAAACAGATGACTTTTAATTATATAACCCAATAGATATCTTATTCAAATGAAATTATTATAGTACCAAGACGTAATAATGTTATTTCTTTTCGTTGTTTAACCTTAATTTAGACTGTTTGTTGGTTTGCTTCCTTATGGAATAACTGGATAAAGAACTAGCTACAGTATCTGGAGGCTGCCGCTGCTTGCTATGTGTTTTCACCCCTTAAAAGGATTCTCATTGGTTGATAGAAGGCTGAGATTATGGAGCTTGCATCTTGTGAACAGCTTAGAACAGAAGAGGACATGTTCTTGTACAAGACAACCTCTTCCAGCCTGATGAGCATTTACATCATGGCTACGGTGATGTTTCTTCTCTTATGGGAAAGGATGACTAGCTTGTGTTGTAATCGGACACTGTGCCAGTCCCTTTCACTCGGATTATACGACATCATCACAGTGCTAATTTGTGTTCTCTCAATTGCTTTTCCACTCACGCCCACATCCATATCCATATCTTTTTAATCCCTGGGGAAAAGTTTTCTGTAGCCAGGTGGTTTTGCCATAATTCTGTTCTATGTTGCAATATTTTTTTTATACGTCATTTAACATTTTTACTTACCTCTCAGTTTTTGAAATAAAAGATTGCTAAGATCATTTGCATTACTTATGAAACGTATGATGAACAAGGCAGTTCCAGCCAGTGCCAGGTTGTTCATTATATGGAGCATTATTATTTTTGTGTTTATATATAAATATATATATTTTTTTTGGGTACATCATCTTTTGGCATTTTGATTTTAACTCTCTTTTCTGCCTATAGTTTTGTTCTGCTGACTGAAATTGTGTTCAAATCTTTGGTAGCTACTTATTCTTTCAGTGACTAGGTTTTAGTTCAGTTTCAGCCTAGTGTGGTAGCTTAATACCTTAAAAGTCCCTTTTCTTAAATGCTTCTTTGATCTGCTTCTTTCTCCAGTTTGTAGAAAGACTTATCTTATGTAACTCAAGACTCATCTCGTCTTTATGTAAAGCTGAGTACAGTAGTAACTTTAAAACATGCAAAAAAAAAAGAGGAATTAGCTCTGGACTACTGCAGTGAAATAGAGAGCCATGGCTACCTCAGTTAAGTTATTTTGATGCTGATAATACAACACGTTTACTGAATACATAACAGTATTTGTCAACATCTGTAACATCTCTGCACCCTTCTTCATTCAAGCCCAGGTGCTGAGTGTGGCCTGTGGCTGATGCAGTAATCCATGCCTTTGTTTGATTTTGGTTCGTTTTTGTTTTGCAGTTGAGCCGATACAGATACAGCATGTTAATTTTAGTGACATTTTGTATCGTACATTTCTGTTTTGCTTACCTCCTTTCTTTTTCTTTCTTTTCTGTTGCAAACATCAGCATCCCTTGATTTTGGGTTTTGATTTTGTTGGACTGTTGGGCGGGCCTTGGCGATAGCAGCCATAATGTTTGTCCATCTCACTACAGTTTCCTTCTTTTCACTCCTGCATAATCACAGAATTCTCCCTTTTCCCAGCTCGACACATTTATTTATTAACATAATTATTCAACTGTGTTTTCAGCTATTCTTTTGTATACAGCTGGTTAAAAGGAGACAAATTGGAAATTTGTTACACAGCTTGTGAAGTTGGAGCTGAGTCATGATGTAGCACATTTTTGTAGCAGGTTTGTAGAGTGGAGCAAGTGGAGGTTTACTGGTCTCAGGTCTCTGCTACATTAATGACCTATTTATTCCATTATGATGGTGGTGGTGCTTTTGGGGTTTTGTGGTAGAAGAAATGCCATACGGGAGGAGTCTGAAATCTAATGTGATGAGTGTTCGGTCATCCCATGCCCCCCTTTGCAGCCAGAGAACATGACAGGCCTGTTTGGTGTGATGCTGTAGTTACTACTGTGATGTTGACCACTGGTTCTGAAATTCTGACCTGTTTGTAAATTTATCTCATAAATTCTATGTCCAAGGATTTTGTGACTCACGTTTGTCAATCTTTTGTGCATCTTTTGAAACACCTGCTGTGGTACAGCATGGTTAAATGCCTGATTCTAAACTTTGGCCATTGTGTATCAAATTAAAAGGAAATTGCTACTTCTAAAATGAAAATATAAACAAAATGATAATATCAACAAAAATACATTAGCAGAGAAAAATTGTTTGGGGAAATTGTTGGGAAGATTTATTTTTTTAAAAAGTGTCCCAACACGATTCCTGCATTAATTTGATGATCTGGTCGTGGCAGAGTCAAATGTCATATGTAACCCCTCACTTCCTTTTACCTGATTTGGAGTGTGTTCAATATCTCTGTTTGGTTTTATGAATGATAATTACAGAAAACCTGTGACATTGTATGAATTGAGTTTAAAGCTCCAGTCAGCAACTGTCAAAACACTCCATCCTGGAACTAGCGCTGAATGGCACCCTCACACTAGCACCGGTTTGGTACCAGAGGTACCTGAACATACAGCCTTCTGGACATTTTTATGGGTGTCCAGTAGGGTTGTTGTTCAAAAGTCTACATTCTTGCTGGACCAAAAACTGGCCTGTCCACTATACTCCTGCCTGAGTGGGGCTTTAAATTAGTATTACTGAACTAAACCCAAACAGAAGAAATATAACATCCATTCTCCATGAACACGCAAGGCAAGGCATGTTACGCACAGAGCATTTCGCTTCATGCTTCTTAAGATTTCCCCATTACATCTGTCTTCACAGATTAAAAGTCAGAGTGGTTAAACATCCAGTCGACAGGCTCAGGAGGTTAGTCCAGTATGCAGATCATTTTTTTTTCTTTCTTTTTTTTTTCTTTTTCACTGATGAATTAATTGCAACTAATCTGTAGTCTAGTCTTTATTTATTGATCACATATGTTTTTGGGTTTTTTTTTTTTATCTCTGTTATTGCCAGGGTCTTTACCCAGTTTTATCTTGCGACGCTAAGTTGGAACATGGTTAATATCCTGCCCCTTTCTCAAGCGTTATTTTAGTGAAAGTCCTGTTTGAAATGATACATTTACTGTAATTTCTCAAATAAACTGCTGTGAGTATACTTGAATAAAAGGTTCAAATTGTATTCTTTGTTGAATGCTTTGATTTCTGGGTTTTTTTTTTGTAGGTGATTATTTTTGCAAGTAAAGTTTATTCATTGGTTTTGAACAATATATACTAGGTTATATTGTTAATACAGTAGTTGCGTTCGAAGCATTTTTACCGTTTTCCTACATATTAAGTGTGCAGCGTTCAATATGCCAAAATTTATATTCGGAAGACTGCTTAATAAGGTGCTATTTGTTGCACCTGTCGATGCCCTCATTGCCATTTTCCTTCATTTAGTCCATGTAAAAATATACAACAGATTCATAACTAATAACACTTTGAACTTGAGCTGACCAGGGGGAAAAAGAAACAGTTGAAAATGTTGAGATGCATGCTAACTTGATTCAAAGGAAAAGAAGACACAAAACAAGGGTTTCTCTTTTCTTTAGAATTTTGGATATGTATTATGTTTCATCATTAATAACATATGTAAATGGTCCCTTTTGGGTACAGATTTACAGACATTTTTGTCCAACCTATCGAATTTTCTAAAAACATTTATACAGAATTACCTTCAGTTTTAAAATATACATATTTCCTTTCCTATGATACAGGACCCCCAGCCCCTGACCCTACATCTCCTTCATCCACATCCTGACTTAGCTGGTAGTGAGTGGACTCGGATGCAGTGGAGGATCAGAACCTGCAGAGTTCCCCTCAGAATGATGAGCAGATTGTGCTTTGGCTGCGTTCAGGCAGAGAAAACAAACAAACCAAAAAAAAAAAAAACAGCTTCCGAACTGTCTTCATTTAATCATTTCTCTTGATATGATGTCACTTGTTGGATTGCAGGTGCGGCATTACATCCCTGGCGCTGCCTCATAGACAAACAGACCATTCTATTTGGCTAGGGCACCACAACCATGAAGCTGCCTCAAATCCAAGTAATACATACCCTTCCTGATATGACTCAGAATGCTTACATTTCAAGTTCCGTCCTTCCGAATGGATGGAGATACTCTTTTGTCCTGTAAAGTCATGGCATGACACAACAGGCCGTGGAAAATGCGATAAACCACAGGAGGAAACAGACTCTTTGATTTCAGCATCTTTTCAGAGGTGAGATGCACTCATGGAAAAAATTATGTGCAGTTGTTATGACTAAAGGGTACAGATGTAATTGAAAAGAAAAAACATCAAAGCAAAGCATAAGAAAAGCACAATATGAATGTTTGTCAAACAAAACCAGTCTCTGTGGTAGGCTGAGTATTCAAATAGCATAGTATTCAAATGGCACAACACCTGTGTGAGGGGTAACTACTCTACACATCCCTGTCGAGCATTGGGATTCCACTGCAGTCTGCCCAGGATGGCCAGTAGGAGTCTGTGGGGAGCGAGCCGAGGAGACACCAGTCTCTTTAATGTTAGACACACACATCCAGCGGGTTTTGTCTTTGATCCCTGCAGTGCACTGAGGAGAAAGGCTGTGTGCCTGGGCCATGGTCAGCCGCTCTGAATGTATTTCTTGATCACCACACAGCCGTGTCTGAAGAGCGGGCAGGGTAAGTTCTGGAGGAGTGTCCACGTGTTGGTGCAGGGATCAAAGGTTTCCATGTTGCCCAATGCTGGCCCCTCACTGCTCACAATGCCTCCTGTAGCATAGATCTTCCCATCCAGGATGACCGCGCTTAGAAATAGAGAGAAGAGGAGAAGGATTTTTTTTTAATCTTTAGAGTGCTTTGTTTTTGTCTCCTGGAACACATTTTATTTACAATCTCAAAAACAGTAACTTTAAAGAAGAAGGGTGGAAAAATGAATGTACACTAGTGTTCAAAAGTTCAGACTCACTGTTTCCTATAAAATAAAATGAACGTTGTTAGAGGTACATGTGTAAAATTATTTTAATGTTATTACTGCGCAACATATTTTAACTAATTAACATGAAGCAGTAAAACAAAAAGTTTTACAGGGCCCAGAGCAAAGCCATTGATGATTTTATAAGTGAGAAAGCTGTATAAGACGAAGAACGAAGATACAATAAAATTAAGATCCAGAATGCCTCGTATTAGATAAGTGGTGATCAAATCTTAGCAGATAACTTGACAAAAATTGATTTATTACTTATCATGTAATAACTTCTTGATATTCCCAACTTGAAATACTGAATAAAACTTATTGAATAATTAAACTTTTTAGAACATTGAATAAAATTTTAAAATAGCTTTTAGAATTTCACTCTTCTTATTGAATCTTTTTGAGCAATTATTAATATGACAACTTTTGAACAGTAGTTGAAAAGTAAATGTAGCCAGATTTCACTTCCAAGTCATTCTGAACTGTTCACACATTGTAAAGGTCCGCTGTCGTGAATGAAAAAAAGTAAAGGTTAAGAAATGACTGCTGACAAAATGCTAACAAAATCCAGTGTTCATTAGGCTTACCTGCAGAACTGCCTGGAGTGGTTCATGTTTGGCCCTGCTTTGATGTTGCCCTTGTCCGGGTCGTAGATGGTGGTGGCTCTGGCGTAAGCGCCGCCCAGGATGAAGATGAATCCGTTGAGGCTTACAGCAGGGGCATACTTGTTATCTAAAGAACCCCAAGAGAGAGCAGGAGGGGAGAGAACAGACAAAGACTTTACCTCTTCAGTGCATTTCTCCACACACAGGAATTGGTTTACCTTCCATGTCTCTTGATGTCAAAGGCCTGCATACAAATTTTGCCCATTCTCAGATCTGCAAGTGCTTTCAGGCCTTTGAGTTAGCAGAAAAGCTGTGCAGCCTTTTTGCAAATAAATGTGTTGCTATGACTGACTGCCTGCTGGGATAATTGAATTCATATCAGCACAAACTTATTGTGCTTTCCACAGTGTGCTCGCACTAGATTCCAATGAAATGTCAGATAATTAATGATGTGGATTACAGACTGCGGGACTCGGTTGTTTATATCTACTGTGGTACTTTGTTCATGTTCCTGTGATTTTGTATGCTGGAATAGAGCTGATTTATTCAGAAAGATATAATCTCTGGAAGTAGTGTGATTTAGCATGCCCCAACAGATGTTTTCTCCTTTCTGTTCTCGCTGGTTATCTTGCCTGTTCTTGCCATTTTTTCCCTCATACCCAGTTCATTTATGCTTTATGTTGTTATTAACCAGAAGAATGAATAATGGTCGCTGTTTCTTGTGTGCGGTCCAACTATTTATTGCACTTTTTGTTCAGGGCCTTTAAGCGCTGCATTCAGGTTCTTCATGTTGAAGCAAAGGATTTTACAAACACTATCCTTAAAATCCAAAATAAAAAACAAAACATCTAGCGTGAGTGGGCAAATGACTGACAGCCAAACACCTGGCCACGCAGACTAAACGAAAGGCCATCCAGCAGCATATGAAGAAGGTGCTATCAATGAGCCTTTCCTCTCTGACAGGGAAATTGTCTCCCAAACGATTACAGCTGGGCCAATTTATCATGCCTATGAATAATTCACACAGCCACGTTTGAGGTTTTTGTTTTTTCCGCCTGCGTTGGACGCTTGAGAAGCCGCGCACGGAAGGAATCTGTAAAACAGCCGTTAGATTTAATGGTGGAAACATAAACGCGTCGGCTGGGCGCTGTGCAGTTCCACCAGGCTCCCTGAGTGCTGCCTGCCAGGTGCATCTCATTAAAAGCCCTGCCACTCCTGCATGAGTGACGGCGCAGATAACACCCTCTCTCTCTCCGGTACTCCAAACAGTGGTGGCCACAGACAGCACTACAGAGCTAAAGGCCATGTAAGCCAGGGGGAGGCGTCTTCTTCTCTAACAGGTGTGTCATTCACAGTCACTTCTGCATCGTTTGCATATGGAGCGAACAAGCAGAGATTTCCTAAATGCACTGAGGCTTCTGCTGCTAAGAGCCATGGCGCTTCAGTGTTGAGGCATCAAATCCAGACCCAAGCCAGTGCTGCATTTGCGTCACGCACCCACCTTGCATTGCACAAATTCACCTGCTCCTCATTCATCTCCTCCACAAGCATCTGCAGTGGCATCCTGAGCATGTAGGAGACACAAAAATAAAAATGCTTGCTCCTTATCTCAGCCCCTCATAAACAACTCCCACACTTATCTGTGTTCTCTCCGTTCAAAACCAACTGTGATTGTATCGGCTGTGCTAGCTACCGGAGCTAGGGCCGTGTTACTGTACACTGAGTCCAAAAAAATGCCACACAAAGGGCTCAAACACAACACAAAAGGATTAAGGCTGCTTCTTTGATGGCGCGATTCTGCCCTCGGCAAGACAACTCCGAGGTCTCTATCAAATGAAAGGACTGTCAACAGCAACACTAACATGGAACACATCTTTCCACAGGAGATAAAGGCTCAAGTATACAGTTCAAGCCACCAATTTGCAGAGATGTCTGCTTCCATTTTCCTCTACCCCTGTGCCTCAGTGATGGGAAACGGACAAAAAAATAGAAGCAGAGGAGGCTATTAAAAAAACAAGCAGTTGGAATAGCCGGGGTCATGAAAGGATACAAGCAGAAAGCGGGACAGGAGAGAATCGAGGGCTTTTTTCGATTTTTAATAAACACCTCGAGGCTTCTGAAGTGGGACTCCTTCAGCGCATCCCATCTCGGCCTCACTGCCGAAGGCTCAGAGTGCTGCCTGCCACTCTACTTTCAAGGACTTCTATTAAAAAAAAAAAGGAAAAAAAGAAAAACTGACAAACACAACTCTTCTTGCTGGTAATTTGGGGGCCTCAAGAATGTTTTCAGACAGGGCTGCTGGAGGCAAGGTGGCACCACTGGTGATGAATCACAGGTAGAGTGAAGTTTATAAGCCCCTGACGCAAGCGGCTACCTGAGTGGTCGAGAACACGATGGCCGATAACTCATCAGCCTGTCCACAGGGCCCCTGAATCACTTTTTAATGTGCCTCTCCCCTCTGAAGAACCACAGCAATTCGGTGCGATTTGTACAAGTAATTGTTTTCGATCAGCGCTCCCGCGCTCCACTTCCAGTGCGACTTCTCCCCCGCACTGCTCCACCTGGCCTTCCATGACAGCTTGTCTGTCAGCGGGGAGCACGCCGGCTAAATTAGTGTACGAAGAATCCGTTCGCAGCAGGGTCTTGAGTGTGCATGTTGGTTTTGCGGAGTTTGTGACATCGTGTTTGTTGTGTTATTGGATCTGTGAATTTGTGATGGGGAAAAAAAACCTCTCAGACCATCTCAGACTTGTGTTACTGCTCAAAAATGTGACATCACTATTTTCAGTACAAAAACTATTTTGTTGCTGATACATGTATAAAGTGATTCTAATGAGGGGCTAGTAGTGTAAAATCTATTGTCATTGGTGCACTAATAAAGTATACTGCATTTACCTGGATGAGCAGAATAATACCCTGTATTCCTATTGAGTTATAAATGCAGTAAAATGAATAAAATGCAGACATTTTAGCTCATTAGCCCAGCGTCTCCTAAATGTTTTGCTTTTCTGTGGTACCATAAACATGTTAACTAACATCAGTCGAATACAATCATTTGTCCGTTGCTGATACTTTTTTAAGCACTTATATGAGGATACTGATATGAATCCGATAACACTGTGCAGCTCTGTTTAGAATACCTTATCAAGAAGTGCTGCTCAAATCTTGAGGCAGGTAACTTAACAATAATTACTGTACTGTGCAAAGGTCAGAGACCACCCTACATTTTTTAAATTTAAAAAAAAAAGGTATTCAATTTTTCAGCAAATATTTGTAAGGGGATTAAATACAAGATAATAAAGGATAAAGAAGGGGAAAGTCAAAGGAAAATAAGTAAACAACAGGAGTTTCAAAAAATGAAGTTCGAAACCTTATTAAAAGATACATAAAAAATTGGATTTATACTGAAAGTTTTGCTATAATATTTAGATGTTGAGGTCTTTGTAAAATTTTCTGTTCAAGTTATGTTTTCTGTTTTTTTTTTTGTTTTGTTTGTTTTGTTTCCTGACACTTGTTTTTTACACAGAACTGTAACTGTAATAATAAATTAAATCTTCAAAACTTCAAATACTGAATAAAACATCTAAAAATACTTTTTGGTGTTATGGCACCTTCTAGTTATAATATTTTAATCTACACTAAATAAGTTATTATTCAATAAAATGTCACCAATTATTAATATGAGAAGTGATTCCGTTCTAACAGTAATATATCATTGCTCTCCAAAGAAAACCAAGTATCTCCAACACAGTAACTTTATAGGAGAGAGTTCTTTACTTTCAATGTAATGTAAAGAGGTTTTATTCTAAGCCATTCTGGAGCATTTGTAATGGTCCAATCATCATAAAATTTTCACACAATGTGGAGGACAGCTGAGCAGATGATGGAGATACATGCTTTTCTTTGAACAGTGACAATATGTGTCTATCTTGTGCCTGGTAGAAATGTGTGTGTGTGTGTGTGTGTGTGCATTTGCATGTGTATGTGCATGCATTCGCTGAGGACTGCTATTCAGACCCGTTTCTGGTGAAGCTGGAATACGCATATATTGATAATCTCTAAGTGTTGAGCCTCACAGGAAGACCATGCTCTTCATGATGACTCAGAGGACACAAACCTCCCATAAAATCTCTGTCCCAAGCCAGTTTTGAGGAGAAAGAGGCTGTAGGACTGCAGCCGAAGCTTAGCGAGATGGAGTAACGGCTGAAGCTGCTAAAATCCCTTCATTACACTCCTCTGTTTGGCTCTACACAGCCATTGACTCATTTTCACCTGACAAATCACTCACTCCGCCCTATCAGGCCTGCCCATAGCCATGTGACAGACGACTCACTCTGAGACAAAGAAGACGGAGCGAGAGAGAGAAAGATGGGGCACTGTATGGTGCCTGAACAACTCGCCCACCCTCCAGTGCTGAGATCACTAACATTTCCTCCACTCGCACCTGAGCCACAGGCAACATCCGCTCTGCCTCTTAGCTCTGATAATGAACTCCTGTCCTCCACACTGAGACAGAACAGGAGAAACACTCGCACACACATAGGAAGCTTGCACTGGTGTGAGCCCAACATGACTCCAACAACCTCCTCTTTCACAGCTTCCCCTACCAACATCTGCTTCTGTTAGAAACTTCCGAAAAACGTCAATATCAAACTTACTTATTTAAATCTTGCTTATTCAAATTCTAGTTCAGGCAACATTCAAATATTTTCCCTTTACTTCAAATGTAGTCGATCACCAAGACATGCTGACTTGTTTAGTTTTGCACTGGAGCTAATGCAGCTCCAGTTAGCACACTTGCCTCAGATCGTGTTGGGTTACTGAAGGGACATTCCGGCATGATTAATATTGTTGCTTTCCAAAAAAAAAAAAAGATTCCATTTTTGTAGTTTTTTTTTATTTTTCGACAATATTTGAACACAGTAGTTGTCCTTTACATTGTGTGACAATTTCATGATGAATGGACCAAAATTACAAAATTACTTAAAATCAAATCTTTTCACCTGAACTTACATTAAAAGTTAAGGATATCCTGTCAATTTACTATTTTGGAGATGCATGTTTTTCTTTGGACAACGACAATATGTTATTTGTTGTATTATACAGTATTGCATGCCACAGCATTATATCTCCACTTGTTATTTTCAGATTTTTTTGTTCACCACTGTTCTCTCACTGCACTTATAGTTACTCACTCTTACTAGGGTCATCAAAAAAATCATAAAGAAAACAGTGATTGTATCTTTATTCAACACATAAAGGATGCCATAGAAAAAAGCCAAGCTGGGGTAAGGTATCTAGATAGCCACCTAACTTGCTAACTAACAACTAACATGTTGTCCGCCTCATCTGACAAATAATTTTGTCGTTTGAGAAATCCATTCTCTCCACTCTAATGAGGATTTGCAGTTATACAGCTGTAATAAGATATTCTGCTTCTCAGTAGTAATGTTAGCTACCTGCACTGACTATCTAACAAAATAAAAGGAAATAAAAAAACAGCCCACCACCAAAAATCCATCCCAACACAGTTGTAGTTTTTTAAAGTTTCTCCCATGTTTAAGTTACATCATCAGAAAGGGGTTTCCTAGGCTTTAAAGCAGGAAATCAGTCTCTGCAGTACCACTGGAAGACCCTAGTAAGCATGTTTACTGATGTAGCAACGGTTACATTTTTCATTTTAGCTGGAGTGTCCATTTAAGTCTATTTAGGTCTTAAGTAGATTCGCTTATATTAAAGTCTGTTTTTTGTCTATGTGTGTCATACAGTGTTGGAAACCATATAATCAAGTCTTGAGATTAAACAGTTAGGCATGGCTTCAGGCATATAGGTGATGATTTAGGCCTGCAGTTGACACAATTCTTAACTGGTAGCAATAAGCATGCATTACTTGTTAGCTACATTAGCCTCACAGCTCCAGTGCAAAACTAAGGAGGCAAATTAGGACACAAAACATGTCTTGGCTACTGTGACTCTTTTTGAGGTGAGGGCAACTGTGTAAATGTGATTATACATACAGGCAAACAAAACACACACTACTTGATGCAAAAGAAGTCTTTCTATGCCATGCTCTGCACTTACCAATCATAGGGGACTCTATGAAGCTCCATGTGTTGGTTTGAGGGACATAGGACTGTAGGACACCAGCAGATCTTCCAGCCTCATTCACCCCTCCAAACACGTACACCTTTCCCCCACACACTGTGGCTGCTGCTGAGTGGACAGGCTTGGGCAGCGGAGAGACTGTCTCCCACTGGTTAGTGATGGTATCATACCTGCAGAGGAAAAGAAGGGAAAATGAGCTGCTTAGTTCTAATGCCAGATACAAGCTATTTTTACTCTCCTCCTTCGCAAGAGAAATGGATCAAGGAGCAGCCATTGTTTTATACTGATCCTCATTATTGGAAAAATGAATCCAACATGGTGTCAATGGTCTCGCTTATTAGGACCACAATGAAAGAGAATTCTCCCGGCTGCTGTAGCGCGCTCAGCCGCCAAGCCCTGATTGTTCCTAATGGAAAGTTTCCTGCTTGCCTTTGCTGGGTGATGTGGGCTAACGGCGGATCTCTTGGGCAGCTCATCAGAGGACACCACCAAGAGCCATCCAGCTGGAGAGCTCATCCACATGAAGACTGTTTTCAGGAGCTGCAATCAGGGCTCCTTTGAATCAGTTTAGAAGTGCTCCTAATGACTCTCAAAGACTAGAAGATCACTCATACCTAAACTTATTAGTCTGCTGAACACAGGATATTAACAACACTTGTGCAGCCATTATGGACTGTCCACTGCAGTTCTGTGTCCAGAATGTCCTTTTTATGTATGCTACCATTCAAAAGTTTGGAATCACTTTCATAGTAATATTCTGGGTTATTTTATAGACAAGAGATGTCTAAAGTAACAGAAACACCATATAAAACATACCTATTTGCCATTTTATCAGTTTAGCTACCATATGGTGCATTTTATATGTGTACAATTACAGACCATAGCCATGTTGCCCTTACCAGGTCCATCAATGGTCCACCACAGGACCACATATTATTTGGGTGATGGATCATTCTTAGCACAGCAGTGATATCTCAGCTTTAGTGACATGTTCATAGCATAGTACTTTGCACTAGCAATGTTGCTGGAGCTTTTACACATTATGTACACTTATTGATCACTTTGTTAGACACACTGTTAGTCATCCTCTATTCCTTCATCAGTGCTCAGTTTCTGACAACTGCTGTTTGGATGTTTTTGGTTAGCGGACAATTTTTAACCCAGCAGTGACAGTAAGGCATGTAAAAATCTCAATGAAAGTCCCTTTCTATTGATAAATGGGACAGATTTGGGCTGATAAATTGTGCATCAACAGATAAGCAGTCAGTATCCGTAAACCTACAAAGTACACCTTTTTGGTAGGTGTTTCTGATCAAATGACCAATGAGTATGAATATTTAATGTGGTGCTTCTATTATTACACTCCCCCTGTACAATAATAGCATATCCAGTTTGAAAATTATAAACTAGGACCAGAGGTCGGCAACACAAATGTTAGGAAGAGCCTGTTTTGTCCTTTTAACAAAAATCAAACCACTTTGGGAGCCACAACATTTATGTCCATTTCATCATCTTGGTTGTAATTTCATCATCTTGGAATAATTTATTGTAAAATATCTCTCTATGATCGGCTTTTTTACGAGACTCAGCTACTCATTTGCCAGCTTCTTGTTTGAATTTTCTCGTTCCACCTTAAATGGTGCTGCAGTTACATGCTTGCACCTCAGGCACCCTTTAGTCAAACGAGAAGCTGACTTCAGCTTTGCAACTTTTTAGTGCTTGACAGTGTTTGACAGTTTCTCGCCATAGATTAAACGTATCAGGAAACCAGCTGAGTGCTTGTACATGCAGATAATTCCATTCGTCTCCAAATTATCAATGTTTGTTTTTAATCTTTGTCTTTTCGTTAGTTACTAGCTAGTTGAGATAGCTGTCTGTGTTGCTGTGACCAGCAGTCTGCGCACCAACCTTCAGGGTTAAAGAGTGACTTAGCAGATATAGGCTACATTAACTCCAGCATTTAAGACTATTTATTGTTAAAACGATCAGCAAAGCTTTATTTTACTGCAAAGGAGGATTTTTTTATTGTTACCTAAAAGTCACATTCTGCTGTGGACCCATAACAGGGCAGTAAAAGAGCCGCATGTGGCTCCGGAGCCGCATGTTGCCGACCACTGAACTACACAGTAAAAGGTATTCTTAATCAGCTTTATCAGGTATTTTAGAAACACCTCCAGCTCCATTCATCCTTCATGGCACATCAGCAATTGCTTGTTTTCAACAGCTTTGTAGCTTCCTGTGAAAGTGCACAGGACTAGCATATTAAAATAACTGTAAACATAATTGTATACATCTTCAACTGGTTTAATATTACTCAAAATATTTATACTAAACCATGAATCCAAACTTTTAAATGATTTTGCATGTCTGTTTACACTAACTTACTAACAGCTGCTGAAGACAACCTCCATCCAACAAATTAAATAATTAATTGATTCATTGATTCGTTCTCAGCTACAGTCTCCCTGTCATCACTTGTACCAGCTGACAGCCAGCTAATGGCTGGAGCGTTCCTGAGCAGCAGTGTAAGACTAAGCTCGTTCTCCTGAGAAGGGAAGTGTGAATGGCTCAACCAGCAAACCAGAATAATGTTCCCCCTAACAGCTGCTGAAAGGAATGTCAAAATAAACTTCAAGTTTAAGAAAAAGGCTTAAATCCTGCTGTGTCTTAATGGAGAACACCAACAAGCTTTAGCTGAGCAGGCAATGGATTACATAAAAACTAATGAAGAAACTGGAAGAGAGCATGGAACACAATAATGAGGCAAATGTAATCAATTAAACAGCACAAACTTATTCATACAAAAATTCTCGAGTGGGTTTTGCCAGTTTGGCATGTTGTCATTAATGGAAATGTGCAGGTGCGAGCAAATAGGAGACGAATATGAAGCAGAAACCGAGAAAGAGATGTCAGGAGGTACAGAAGCATTAGAGAAAAAAACATTTCTGTGTTTATGAGCAAATCACGACAAAATGTAGCCATTTGGTAATATTAAAGAATAATGAAGAGTGATGCTGAATAGGGGCTGATTTAACCACTATTTGTCTTGGATTTATTCAAGTGCAATAATCCAGTTTGCCATCACCGTTTTGACAGTGGAGTGCATGGCCTTAAAAGCTTTCACTAATTTCTTGGCTGCTGTGTACCGTCCACAGCACTTAATAATATACACTGTGGTACTCAGCCAAACGCAGTCAGCCAAATGATGCACTGCGAACGGGCCCAGGTTAACTTACTGTGTGCGCAAATGAAAAAGAGTGGGCGACAGACAGCAAGCAGGAGAGCAGGGAGAAGAGGAAAAGGGTGTGAAGGATGAATCACATGATGATATCAATGCAGCGTCTGTGAGCTGATGTTATCCTGCAGGATGAGAGTTGCAGTGCATGATGGGTGCACTGTATGTTGTGTGATGGTATCATCAGTGGTGTGCTGTAATTATGAGAGCTACTGTACTGTGACCCAGATTCACCCCTATCCCCTCTTGTCCCCTCCACTATCCTCCCTCCCCATCCAGGCACAGTTTAATCATGCTCGGGGAGCTGGAGGGAAGTGCGTGATTGGCCGCTTTGATAACCTACGGAGCACTGAGAAAAGATAAGCTCAACTGGAGGAGGGGAAAGAGTGGACTAGTACAAATACCTAAAGATGTGACAATGTATCAGTGCGTCGAGATGCATCCATCTGACGTCAGCATCAGTTTTTGGAATGTTAGAATTGTTAGAAATAAACATAAACACAGCAAAAAAGATTCTGGATTTCTGCTAATGACCCCAGACATTGCATTGATTTATTAAATTCACCTGAACACACTGGATTTAATGTAAAGAAGTCTTGTTTAGCCAAACCAGATACTGGATGATAACTAGAAGTAATAAGCAAAGAGAGGTTTGGAAATGGTTAAACAAACATACTGACACACACACACACACACACACACACACACATAGATATATGTATATATAAAATTTTCTCAGGTTTCCTCTTCCTTATGACCTTTTGCACGGTACTATATGGTCACAATTTTGGACTAAAATGTAGTTATTTTTAAATATAAATAACAAATTGGTGTTATTTTTTATTATTAATATTATATTACTGTGTTCTTCTGGTCACATTTTTTAAAAAAATGTGAATCATTAAAAAAAAAAAAAAATTGTTAACATTTGAGATTTCATGATGGGGTTCTATGATAATGGTTCTATGGCAGTCACAGAAGAACCACTTTTAGTTCCCTAAAAAAATTTTATTGGATTTTACGGTAGCAACTGAGTGTAATTTCTGACTGTCTTAGATATCCCTGAGTTGAACTATGCAATATTTTTCTTCAGCAATGTTGACGGAACACATTTTGGTGGAAATGTGTATGATTTACAAAACCCGAAGAAAACTGAATTACATCTTCATAAGTGAGCAACCAAGTCAACCTTTATAAAGCAGTTTTATTGTGTTTAAATGCTAGTTTTTACTGTTTTGTACACATTTTTTGATATAACGAACGCTGCAGTTGTACTGTTCGTTTTAACTGAGCACAGCTGTCTTTGTTGAGAAATGTGAATGGATTTCACAGTAGGGGGTTCTCACCCCACCTCTTCCCCCCTTTATTGCTCACTAGCAACTCAACACATTTCACATTTCACAACAGTGTCCTAGTTCATCTGATAAACAGTTATGTAGCAAAACATTGTATTTGATTATATTAAAATATCTAAGATTACTTCTTTTCTGTATCAAATCGCCATATGCTGCATCTGTAGTATGTGGTCAGTTAACATGGACACTATTTTAGACACTTTTTCCTGTACTTACAGAAGAATAAACAACTAGTTGATTCAAAAGACACTTATAATACAAGCCAAAGAGCAGTGTGTTCTGAGTGAATGGGTTTTCTGTTCTATTGTAAGTACAGGAAAAGAGACTTGTTACTGTCTGTGTTAAGCTACTGTATGCTACAGATATGGCAGATGGAGATTTAAAATCATGGTACATTTTTTTAAAGAAATATAAAGAAATATTCAAGGAACAAAGGTGGTCCTTCTACGGTCTTGCTCCAAGGAACACTTTTGGTATATCTTACAGCAAATGATCAATTAAGTTGCACCTTGGATCAACTGACCAGAGGCTTGTGTGAAACTTGGAAAGTTATGTGTATGTTTATGCAAAGCAAAATCCC